AGAAAATGACTAGGCAAGCCACAGACTGAAAAATATTTGCAGTGCAGTGGCCCAACCAAAAATTACCATCTAGAACACAGAAACCACAGTAGAAAAGCAGGCATTAGGCTCAAACACACTTGGAGGACAGAAATCTGAGGAGTCCGCTGTGGGACGAGCACGTCCTGCTGGCGGGTGCCCCGTGGGGCGCAGCGCTAGTTTGGGGAGGGATGCAGCCTCGCAAAGAGTGGCCGGCAGGCCCCACCAGGCTAGCCTGCCCTGCGAGCCAGCCTCCCACTCCTGCAGGTTTGCCGGCAGAAAGGAGAGCCTGTGTCTGCACGGGGGCTTGCAGGCACCCGCAGACCTGTTCACAACAGTCAGAACTGGGAACAACCAAGGGTCCATCAACACGGTGTAAAGGGTGGCGCGTCTGTACAAGGGGCCATCCGGGGCCGTCCAGGAGCAGGCAGAGTTGGCACTGGCCGCAGCTGCCTCCTGGTGAGTGGGGCCTGAATAGCCTGGGAAGGGGTCCCAGAGAACGTTCTGTGGGATGGACGGCTGCATCCCATTTGGGATGACGGGCACCTGATTGTGTGCAATCGTCAGGACACACTGAACACTTATGATGCGTCTGTTTTGTTTCACATTAGTTGTAGCTCAACCTTTGATTAAGAGGGTGTCATGGGTTTACATTTTCCTCACGGCCCTTGCTGTGAGGTGCAGCCCGGTAAACCCCGCACACCTGGGGGTGATGAGCGAGGCATAACAATGCAGCCACCCCAGGCCTGGGGGCCCCCTGCCCCAGAGAGCGAAGGCAGCTGCCTGAGCATGGATGCCTGGCAGCAGCCGTGTGTGAACGCAGGGCTGGGGGTGAGCGGCGTGCCTCTCCCTACACCCTGACCCGCGCCCGTCCGTGCTGCTGCCGTGGAGTCTCTGGCGTGGCTGCGTGCGTGCAGCGCGCGGGCCCCCCAGGTCTACTCCGCAGCAGAGCTGTTTGCTGCCGCGGTGTCAAGCCACTCCTCAGCCTCCGGCCTCTCCCTCGTGAGACACACCACTTACGTGGGAGGAGAGATTCCTGTTGCCTTGGAGGCCCGGTGGCTGCCATGTGAGTGAACTGGAATTGCCCCGGAAGCAGTTTCCGTGTTCGTGTGCTCCTCTCGTGAGCAGGTCGCCGAGGTGCTGAAGCCCTGCGGAAGTCGGATCGTGGCCAGCACTGGGGGGTCAGGAAAGGCGCTGCTAGCCACCTCACCAAGCAGCTTCTGACCAGGGAGAGAAGTCAGGGCCCTTCCTCGGAGTCAGATGCCGCCAGTAAAATTGTGTCACACGTAATGAAGTAACTGTTGGGGTGAGTGCAGTGCACCCCCGTGAAGGCCAACCCCAAGTGGGGGTCACCGGGTCCTTGCTGTCCCATCCTGGGGTCCCCAGACAGGAGAGCACTTACTCCAAGCCGCTTCATCGCACAGACACGGACCACGAAGCAAGGGGCTTTCCCATGAGCGCACAGGGGGCCGGACCACACACTCCAGTACTCCTGGAAAGGCGGTCTGTGGTGGTCTGGACTCTGGCCTCCGCTTCAGCCCCTGCTCACGGCCCCACACTCACCCCTTCGGCTCCTGTCTGTCTCCATCTCCAGACACTTGGCTCGGAACAGCCTGGGCCGAAATGGCATTGAGTCCTCGTGGCTCACAAGCGCTTGTGGTGCCCCCTCCCCCTGCCCCCGCTCCCTGCAGCCCCTTGCACGGCCAGCCACCGGCAGAGATGCCAGCTTCGGAGACGATGCAAAACCATCAGTCACCCCCCACCCCCCAACAAGCCTGTGTTTCCAGCACCTCCTGGCAGCGTTCACTGTGCTGTGCGCACTGGATTCAGGGGGTGGTTTCTATATGGCTGTTCTTGGGCTGGGCGAGTGCTTGACAGCACCCCGAGACAGCGTGAGAATGAAGGCGCCAGGGTGGCATGGAGACAGGTCATTCCTGAGAGATGCCCACATGTGCCTGTGACCCCAGTGCCAAATAGGGGGCACGTGACCATGAACCTCAAAACTCACCTAAGACGTAGAGCTCCCCCCACTTGCCTGCTCAGCCCCCAGAGGCGAGAGATTGCAGGAAGCCTGAGTGGCATCCCAGACTGCCAGGCCTGCCCACAGGAACCTCCTCAACCCCATGAGCCCGTTACTGTGCACAGCCCAGGGTCATCGAGGCTTCTGGAACTCTGAGGGAAGGGGCCCTGGCATAGCCCAGTCCCCGTGTTTGCAGAGGGAGGAGGCAGCCCGGTCAGTGAGAGAGCGGGGTGCAGGGTGCACTCAGGATGGGCTTGCTGCAGATGACTTCCTACGAGGAGGCTGCTCACCTGGGTACAGCTGCAGGCCTGGCAGCCTCTCCTCACCCTCAGCTCGGGGTGAAGCATGCAGCATGGAGAAACAGATGTCCTTCCTGCGGCAAGGCTTTGGGCCTCCTGTCTCCGAATGGGAGTGTCAGAAGCACGTCCTAGGACCCGCGAGCATCTGGAGAGGCCTGTCTGCGTCCCTGGGTGGCGGCCTTCATGCTCCTGCCCCCCGCCCCCGACTCCCCGCAAGGCCTGAGCCTGCCCTGGCAGCCTGGAATGTCCCAGCACCTCACACCCTCCCTTCCCCAGAGAGCAGGGGTGGACAGCTGTGGGTCACGTGGCTCTCTTCGGGTCTGGCCTGGTACTGGCTTGTCTGAGCCATTTTTTCAGAATTAATTTTGGGCTGAAAAAGGCTGACAGAAGTCTTTGTTCCTTTGACGCTCACTCAGGAAGGAAAAATCCGTGGAAAATCTGACATCTGCACTATAGGGAGAAGTCAGTGGATGGGGAGGAATATAATTACTCTCCGCTCCCGGAAGAATGTCTCAGATCTTTAAGTGTCTCATATCAGCTTAGAACTTGAATGACATTTTAATTATTTTGTTTTTTTCTTCTCTGCCTGGTTTGAGTCTCTAAAGAGACCCACTCTTGGATTCTGAGGGGTGCGGGGAGCGGAGCGTCACTCACGGGGCTGTCGTGTGATCGTGCTGCAGGACAGACACGCTCAGGTCTGGACAGCGGGCACGTGGCTCTTCGAATGCGCCACAGAGTTGCACCCAGGGGCTGTGTGTCTGGCACGGTTATAACCTAAACAAACCCACTTTCCAGAAAACCGGGGACTCCAGTTTTCAAATAGCACCACCCAGGTGCCTGGCATGTGGCTCTGTGTGGGGGCGCGCACGGCCCCTGAGAGGCGTGGTGGCCGGGCTGGCGGAGGGTGTGCCATGTGCACGCCCCTTGTCAGAGCCGCTGGTGGGTCAGGGCCCAGGACGCCAGAGTGCTAGGAGCTCTGGGGGATAGGTTTGTAAACTGGCTGTCCAGCTGCACGTTTAGCTCCTGCTGAGCCCATGTGCATGGCGGGAGCACCGCCACTCAGTCTGTGGACGCCTGAAGGGCTGCCACACGACCCTGGGACCTCCTTGTCACGTCTCGTCCCTGCTCCTTTGAGTGTTGCTGTGTCCATGCCACTCCCCACTCCACACCCATGCTGCCTCTCAGCCCATCCTGTGGGCTCCATGTTCCCGACACGTCCCAACTCCTGGATGGTCCTTCTGCCTGGACGGCCACAGAGGCCTGCTGACACATGACCGTCCTGTCCCCCGCTCAGAGCCCTCACCACCCCAAGGTCATTCCCCACGTGAAAGTCCGTTTTAGGTGTCAATGCCTGGGCCACCACCCCTGGTATGTATCCACTCAGCTCGATGTTGCTGCGAGGCAGTTCTGCCGATGGGATTAAAGACCACGGTCACGTGGCGCCCATGAGGAAGTAGAGCCGAGGGTCCTGGGGCCACGGCTGGCAGCGCCACCCCTCCTGACGGCTGCCATCCTGGCCTCGGCCCTGACCAGCCAGCTCTGTCCCTCCCCGAACCTGACACTGCGGCCCAGGGGCTCCTGGTCTTCTCTGCTCTGGACACACAAGTCCTCAGTTTCCCTCACACCTGCTGCCTGGGGCGTCTGAATTTTGCTCCTCGTTCCTCCTCCAGCTTGTCCCCGCTTCTCCATGGCTGCCCACCCTCCTCCTCCAGAACCCAGCGCCCCTTCTCTGCACCTTCCACACACCCGTGCCACCCCAACCAGGGCAGGCCCTCCTCTGTGCCAGGCTGGGCCTGTGTGGTTGTATCTGCTGACCGGGTGGGACTCGGCCCAGAACAGTCACAGCTGTAAAAACCAGCATCACAAGAGAAAGCCGAGCTGCATCCCACGCTTGTTTCTCTCCGCGTACTTCCTCACCTCCTAATTCAGCTCTTATGTAAGACTCAGAACTCAATCTCTGGGACCCGAGGGGAGCTTGCAGAGTTGGCAGGGGACAGCCTCTGACTTAGGAAGGGAGCCACGAGTTCCCAAGAGAAAGTGGGGGGCAGGGCATGGTGCTGGGGGTGCTGGGAGCTCGGCCGCAGGCCATTCAGGGGACCTTTCCTCCACAGCCATGGCCCTGTGCCCCTGGCAGCAAAGCCGTAACCTGGACGCTCGTGGGCCCGGGCACCCAGGTTTCCCGTGGGGGCAGTGAGCGCTTGAGCCACTGGGGAGGGCTTGGCCCAGCACACCTGAGCTTTTGAGTTGCTCGCTGCCATTGTGAGTGAGACGCAGCCCCCTTCTGGTTCCCTCAGTCTGGCATCTGTCCGTAGCTTTGCCAGCCTATCCGTTTCTAAAGCCTCAGAAGTACATTCCTGTAATAATGCTCAGACAACCTGAGTTTTCGAGAAAGCATAGAAGGTATTGTCTTTATCCAAGGAAGCCAGTAGTTTGGACGTGTTGCGCACATGCTTTGACCTCGGCTGTCAGGAAGCCCCGAATGTGCTGCTGCTACAGCTTCATTTACGTCTTACCTCTTACATATTTCAGGCAGGAGATACCCTCCTCCACTCCCTTGAAGCTTCCTTTGGGTCCTCCCACCTGTGGCCGGTTTGCACACCCCTGGGACCACTGCCAGCCTCCAGAGTGGCTCATGTTCCTGTCTGTCTGTCTTGCCTTGGCAGGGCCTGATCAAGATCCGGGGAGACCGGTGCTGGCGGGACCTCACCTGCATGGACTTCCACTATGAGGTAGGCTGCATGGCGGCCACAGGCCGAACTCCCTGTCCTGCCCCGCCACCGCCCCCCGTCCATGGGGACCGGCCCCTGTACCATAGCTGCAGCCTCTTAGAGGCCACGCCTGGGGTCACAGGGTTGCCCTCTTCTGCTTGCTTTCTTGTCAGAGCACAGGCAGGGCACAAGGTAGTTCTTGGGGCGTTCCATGTGCTGGGCTGGCAGATGGGGCTTCTGGCCCCCATGGCTGTGGGTTCCGGTGTCCATTCTGCTTGGGTGTTGGTCCCTCCACCACTGTCCATGGTCCTTCCTGCCTAGGCATCCTCCCTCCTGGCATCGGGGCTGGCCCCACATGCCCCCAGGAGAGTGCGCAGTGGGAGTCGCTCTGCCGCACGCCCTGCCCCCCAAATCACGGCAGACAGACATGGGGGGAGGTGCGAGTCCTGCTGTCCTCAGATTGCCATGGTCCCCTCCCCCATCTTGGCCCCAAGCTTTAGGCAGTCGTCCTCTACCCCCCCCTTCCCTGGGACCCCACCCAGGTCCAAGCTCCTCTGGGCATTCCTGTCCCTGCTGACGGCTCACATGTTTGTGGGGGGCAGGGACCAGGTCTCCCTGTGAACGAATTAACAGAGGGCACTCGGTCAGAGCGACCTCATCCACTCATCCGTGTATACCGTGAATGCCTGCCAGCTGCCCTTTCACTCTTGTTGGCCGCAAAAACATTGACACGCCTGGAGCGCCACCTGTCAGATGGGACATTTTCTTCCGTGTCTCCCACCTCTGGCTTATGGTTCCCGTACAGGAAAGTGACTTATACCTGCTCTTGTGTAAAAGGTGCTTGCGACAGGCTCACACCTCTTCTGGCTTTTCAGTCCTGAATATGTCGAGTAGATGCCACCTGGGGAGTCCTGGGTGTGTCTGGGGCTGCGTCATCTGTTAACCAGCCTGGGGGCAGGGACATCCCATGGGTGCTGTGCTTAGCAGGGTATCAGACTGGACATCTCCCCGCGTCCCTCCAGACTCCCCTCCCCTCCTGCCCAGGGGCCCATGAGACCCTCCCTTGGTCCTGGAGCTGATGTTCTGTAAAGGGCCAGAGAGAAAATGTTTCTGGCTCTACAGGACGGACGGGGGCCCCAGGGGCTGAGCTAGGAGGCCCTCCATTCTGTCCTGGCCCCGCCATGAGCCCACAGTGGCCCCCAGCAACCTGCGGGCAGGGCCCGTGAGTGTCCAGCGTGTGTAGAGGGAGTGCGTGCTAGAATCCCCTTGGCGCTGATGCCTGCCCTCTCTGCCTGCAGGTCTTGACCAGGGTGGATACAGGGCCTGTAACTGATTTTCGGTCCACAGAAGGAGTCTTGGACAGCAGGGAGAGGGCCAGGCGAGCCCACACAGGCTGGGTGACACCCCCCCACCCCAGCTGGGTGTGTCCTCAGAGGGCTTGAGTCAGGGGGCACCAGGGCAGAGTTCCTGCGTGTCCTCACACAGCCCTGGGCAGGATTTGGGCAGACGGTGGGCCTGTGACCCACATCCTGGGGAGGGGGCCAGGCGCCTGTGATGTTGGTATGGTGTGAGGTCAAGGCCACTTGAAGTTGGTCTTCAAGGACAGGCCGAGTCTTGGCTCAATGACCATGTGGGGCCCTGGTCATCAAGTTGGGAGTGTGGCCTCCGGGTCAGGTCCCTTGGAGGAACAGAACCACCCTGACTCTGTGAAGGAGCAGGAGCCTTCCCTCAGTCGATCTTGTTTCCACATGCTCTGTAAACTAGGGTGAGGTGAGGAGTCGGGGCTGGGACCCCCCGTGCTGTCAGCTGCCCGCAGAACCCATTGAAGTCTGCCTGCCAGGGGCCAGGATGGGGGCCACACGGCCTGTCCTCAGTGACCTGGACCCCTCCAGTCCCTGACGGGTGGCAGCAGGGCCTGCCTCATTCACTGTAAGGACACCACTGGCAGGAGCCTCATAGGAGGGACCCGCTGGGGACAGTGGTGGGGCCGATGGGGCGCAGCACATGGGTGAGCAGGAGGGAGCAGCTTCCGGCCGAGACAAGAGCCCAGGCTTTGCTCGTCACTGCTTCTACTTCATCCTGAGCCGGTCTGCTCACAGGCATGCTGTCCACGTGGTGTGTTACCACGGCGAGGCCTTGTAGGGAGGTCGTAGGAGGTGAGCCCTGACGCCCCAACCCTGTGAGGCCCCCAGATCCTGCAGGGAGTAGGGGGCCAGCAAGAGGGGCCCTCATGTGACACCACAGGCTCACCCCCACATCCCCCATCTATGTCCTTGCTTTACCTACACATGGCCGTTGGGGGACTTGGTCAGAGCAGAAGAGGGGCTGGGGCAGTACCAGCGGGTATGGTCATCAGGCACCGTGGGAGAAAGGGCAGTGGACCTCCACAGACATACCCAGGCCGAGCCACGGTGGCCCTGAGCCGCCATGGCAAAGCTAGTCGCCCCTCAGAAGGACGTCCCAGAACCCTCGTCCCCAGGCTCATGGGTTCCGCTGGTGACCCCAGTGAAAGCAACCATGAGGAAGCCCGCAGGATTGCCTCGCTGCCAGGCGCTCGGCAAAGGAGGAAAGGAAAATGCTGCTGCTGGGCAGCGGCTGTGCGTTCAGTCCAGGCCACCGTGAGGTGCGCGAGCCTTCCGCGCAGGGCAGCAAGCCGTCTGTCAGCAGTGTTCAGGTCCTCAGGTGACCTCCGCGCTCAGTCCAAGTTAGTCGGGATGCCGACTTACTAACTTTGGAAAGCTCTGGTTACCAAACGTACACCTCAGTGACTTGTGCATGTTGGATGTACACATGCCAGGAAGGGCCTCTGCCCGCGGCTGGGGGTGCGCTGTGAGGAGCATGTGGTGCGGTCGCTAAGCTGCCGCAGGAGTCCCGCCTCGCTGGCAGCCTGGCAGGTCCCACCTGCAGCCCTTCGGGGGGTCAGGTCGGTGCCCCACCCCAGGCTGTACGAGAGTTGACCGACATGGATGCCGTAGTTTTGCTCCAAAGTCCTGCACGCAGAGCTGTCCTTCCGTCTGGGGTCACCAGTCACTGTCTGCTCCCATCACCTGTGAGGTCTGCGGCCTGTGGCATATCAGAGGGGACTTTGTGTCATGTCCTTTGCACCTCGAAACCCAACAAGGTTCAAGCCTGTGCAGGGGCAACTAGCTTGCGGAGCCCGGACGCTGCAGCAGGCCCTTCAGGAGCTGGGGTCCGTGCCACGCGTGGGGCCGCATGCCCACGGTACTGATGTGCTGCCCTGCGTCCATGTCGTAGGGTGCCCGCAAGGCTGTCCACACACATGGTGCCTCGTCCTGCTCACCCCCAAGGGTCCACTGAGCACCAGCCTGGCCCTCGGCACTGACTTCCTGCTGCCCGTTTCTCTAACTGGGAGCCGCCTGAGCGTCAGGGCAGCTTCAGCCAAGTTTACTGAAGATTCCCCCTAGGTCTTGTGCGGTCAGGAAGGCCTCTTGCCACCTGTCTTGAACGCACCTGTTTAGCTATGTTGAGGTGGAAAATCGTTCCTTGTCCCGGCGGTAACCGTTCTCAGTGAGCACTTGGCGCTCCTAGGTGGGCCGCCGGTAGCTCCGTGTCCCTGGATGTTGCTCCTCCCGTCCACAAGCCCCTCAGCCCTGGGGCCCACTGGGAGGGCACCCAGCAGTTCCGGTCTTTGAGAGCCCTGCAGGCAGGAGGAGGGGAGGGGGCACAGTGCCCTTCATCCTTAACTCCTTGCTGTCCACACCCCTGCAGCACCCCGTGCAGCCCCGGAGGGCCTGGAGGCTGCAAAGGCGAATGCCCCAGTCCAGGAGGGTAACAGCGACCCTGGGAGCTGGCTCCCACGGTGGCCTGGACTAGGCCACCCTCCCCTACTGAGTGGGATCTCCTCTCCTTTAGTCCCAAACAGCAGTCTGAGGGGCACACGCCCGGAGCACGTCCCACCCCCCTGGCCACAGTCCCCTTGCAGCTCTGTGCACTCCGTGGGGGACTTGGGAAGTGGGTCGCAAGTCCGTGGTTTCAAGGCCCTGGAGCGGGCGAGTCCTGGCAGACACCACTGAGAAGGTTCGAATGATGGAGGCTGAGCAGCCCCCATTCCCTCACACGGTTCCTTCTACGGTTTAAGAGGCAACACCGTGCACTGTTCCTATAAAATGGAGCATCTAAAACGTGTCCGTCATAGACATAAGGCACGTAAAGTGCTTCTGAAAGTGGCAGGCCGCTCATCTGCAAGGGTGGGAGAAGACAGGCCGTCCGAAGACCTGGCTGTGAGTGCACGCGCCCCTGCCCCACGTTTGGCTCCCTCCCTCTGAGCCGCACCCCTGCAAGAAAGCCAGTACACTTGCCCTTTGAACCAGAGTGTTACCGCTGGGAAGCGCAGCAGTAGAGACCTGGGCACTCGGGAGAACCCCCGATTCCAAGTTCTCTCTTAGGGATTCTCTTTCCTAAAGTTGATGCAGCTCCGGTCAGGAGGCCGTCCCCCTTCATAGCCACAGGGTCTTGGAGCACAGGGCTCCGCCTGACAGAGAGTAACATGCGTGCACCCCAAGATCAGGATGCCCGTGGTGTGGGCTATGTCACCTTGAGGGCCACCCTGGCTCTGGGGCCCGCCTCGCAGCCGTGCACAAATCTACAATTCACTGTAGGACGTCCCGCCTCCATGCGCTGGCGCACACCCTCGCCGACAGAAATCCTGGACACAATCTGCCCGCACGGGGCGCACATCTCTGGCTCTGCTGGCCCCAGGTGACACCGTCTGTCGCAGCCCAGGGGCCCTGGGCGTGGTCCCCCTGCCTGCTCTCTGGTGACCGTTCACCCAGCTGGCCTGCGTCTTCCCCCGCCGGGCAACGCACACACCACCAGCTGGTGGAAACCCTCAGCCGTGTTCTTCCATTCTGGGGGCGGTTTGTATCTGATCATGGTTTACAACATGCACCTAGTTTCTTCTCCTGGGTTCACATCTGCTCTCTCGTAGCTGCTGGAGGGACAGAGGCGGACAGACGGCTGACGGCCTCCATCTCTAATGGCAGGCGCTCCCATCAGCACCC